GCCGAACTAGAAGAGCTGCACACACCAAACTGGAAGAATTGGACCCACTGAGCTGAAGAGCACTTCAATACTCCTTGGGGACCTGCTTGCAGGCCCACCAAACCGACAGAGCTGTAACACTTCTCGGTAGTCTGGCTTGCCAGCCCACTGCCCAATCAGCAGATCTGTGAACACTTCTCAGAGCCTGGCTTGCCGGTCCACCGACTGAAAGGGCTGTAAACACTGCACAGGACTCAGCTCGAACCCCCAACTAAGAGAGCTGTAACACTTCTTGAGGGCTCTGCAACTGCTGGCATCCCTGAGCCACTGCATTTCCATATTCAGATACTATCATGTCCCTGACCACCACATGAATCTTGGGCTGGCAGTGTAGCTCTGGGAACTGCAACATCCCTTGGGGGCCCAGCTCACCAACTTTCAGGGCAAAAACAAAACAAAACAAAACAAAACTGCATTACTATGAAACTCAAAGTAAAATTTTTATCTGAGAGAATGGGGACACACTGAAGAAATGATTAAACTGCATATTTCAGATAAGAAAAATTATCTATCGTGTCTCTTGAATTGTGATAACATTTCAGAAAAGATCCGGTGCATTCAGGGTGGTATGACTGTAGACATGTGGTAACATTTCAAATCACAGAATGCAAAAGTTTTAGGTTCTTAGATGATTTATTATCATATTGTACATGCAAATTTTTAAAAAATTTCCCAGCAGCAAGGTATAGGCTTTTGGCATGTTCTGACATGTCTGAGTGAACTTACACAAAGTAACATTGACCTTCACTAAGGTCAATTCCTACAATTAGCCTTCCAACACCCCTTTTTGCTAATGTCACTTATTTTTCAAGTTCCTGGCAAACACCAAAAATATATATATATGAGCATGTCTAATCATTTAATTGAGTTGACCACCTGAATCCAAGAAGTCACAGCGAACTCTCATGTTGTCTGCCTCGGGCCTCGGGCAGCTGAGAGAACCAACGACTGTGACATCCCGTCGGTAGAAAGTTGGGAACTCGTTTATCAGTCACCATCATTGAAGAATACGGTAGCTCAACCAAAAGCAAACGGGCATGATTTGGATGAATTCTCTATAAACATTTTCTGTATTTACATGTATGGCCAGGCCAGACTTAATATGTTTACCTAAAAAATATTGTTCTATAGTCTTTGCATTAAGGAGTCAATAGCACCATTTTGTCAGGTTTTAAAAATGAAATGTTCACAGCTCCTTTTTCAGTGCTTTTAAATTAGAAGTTAGGAAGGTAGCCTATAATCTTGACTGTGTAAACTAAAATACTTATAACTCTGTCCTCCAAATCCTACATGCTCTCGTGTTTGGCTAATGGCTTGTAGTCTAAACTATTGGAGACATAGATGTCCTGTATGCAATAGCCTTCCATTAATCTAATCCTCCATGTTGCTCTTGAGCTGCTTATATCCCTTTAGTCCTGGAAACTTTTGACAACCCAGAATACAAATTTCTCTTCTAGGTAAACTAGAAAAGACATCCCAGATAATGCTTATGCCTGAAAAACCTAGTAGGACGTTTTCCTTTCACAATGCCTGCTGTACCCTTACAGTATCTCTACTTTTTAGGTTCTCCTTCAACACTCCAGTAATAGTCAATCTTTGTCCTTATCTTCCTTAATTTTATTTGTCCTGAGGAATAATGCAGCCATTCACTAATCACAGACATCATCTGAAATAAGCAGAGTGACTAAACAACTAAAAGTTTACATTATCTGATTCTAAATTACAAAAAGGAATTTACCGAAAGGTATGTAAAGAAGACAAATGGGAGGGATGAAGAGAGGACTTGACAGGACCAGCTTGATGTTTGAGAAAATAAGTTCTGCTCATTTTAAATTTCCATTCTTTGAGACTTGGTCTTGTTCAGCTTGTCTTTTGAAATATAAATTTCGATCACAAATCCTGTGGGAACTGTCTTTTTAGGTCAAGTAACTTAAAGGGCTGCAATAACTGACAGCGGTAACCTTGATTTGGGCATCCATTGGCAAAGCTTTAGCAAGTAGATGATTTTCTGGAGTCACAGGGAATTTTTCAGTAACTGGAGTTTTATAAAACTTTAAAAATTACCATCACTACCATTGTGGAGACCTAGCCAGTGCAGTTTTTGTTTTCAGGGAGTGAGGCTTTGCTGTAACCTGGTAACTTACAAAAATGTCTGATATAGTGGATGATTTTTTTTTTTTTCTTAGAAGCACAACAGATCACCCAAGTGTGTAGGGCTAGATGCTCTGAGGAAAGGCTGCGCATGTGTATACAGAATAAGAAAGGAGCAAGGAGGCCTGTCTAATTCAGCTGTGCCCAAGAACTGAGATTCTGCTGGATACTTAGTAATGCTTCCCTGCGTATTTCAGTTTTTCACACTCAGTGTTACTCCTTCATCTCTTTGTCTTGCATTCCTTCACTCTGTTTATGTTTAGGCCAGTTTCAGTCAGACAGGCCCCCTACCCCCTCCTCCCTAGCTGCAAAGATTCTCTCATCCTTCATATTTCCCATATCAACATCCCATGTTTCCATGAAGCTTTCCTTGATCATTCTTGGCTTTTCCTTTTTTCCATCCCTAGGGCTTATCACCTGCCTAGATTTATCATAGGCTGTATATGTACACTTGGCTCCTCTCTCCAAATACAAAGCTCACTCCTGGAGGATAGCATTGCATTTAATTCTTCTCTGATTCTTCCATTCCTCAGTGAAAGTTTACTGGGAAAATGAATTCCTGAATGGGCTACTCCTGTGAAGCTTCAAAGTTAGCAAATCATTTCCTTAAACTGAGTTTGGGTCATAGGGTTCATTTTCCCTAAATTATGCTGTTTATTTGGGGGCAGTAAATTAGCTATTGACTTTGGTCTATTCATTTATAAGGTATTTAAGTTCATCAGTGACTGTCTTCAAACTGAGGAATCAAGAAGATGGGCAGGGGAATATGAAACCTAACTCTACATTTTGTGATATTTTCCCTCTCCAATTTCAGTAAAGTCTCCCTACACTCAGCCATAGGAGCTGGTAGATGATTTTTATCTTTTGTTCTGAGTTCTATAGTGTATCCTAGTGGCTATATTATATTGATTGCTGAAGTAGTTTAAAGTAAACAGTATATTATTTAAAGTCAATATAAGTTTAGGTATTTCTAATAGTAAGTTGATAATGGGTTTTCTACTCAATATCTCATTTGTGACTTTTTGTAACAGATGTTGAAGGTCAAACTGAAACACAAAGGTCATGAATAACTATGATTCTTTCAATATCTGGGTCACCAGCTTTCTTTAAGGCAGATATTTTGGAATGAACAGTTTTCCTGTGACAGAAATAGACTAAGAGAAGGGCCCTTCTTGGATTTCTAAATATGTAAGAAAAGTAAAGGAAGGAGTTTACTCAAGGCCCTCTGTTTTCAAAGAAATGAAATATGTAATGCTCAGAAAAGCGTGGGGATTGTGAAATAGCTTTCTTACATAAAAGAGTTGGCTGTTTGCCTGTTCCCTGAGCTATTGATAAGTCATTGTCATATAATGCCATATAATGAAGCATATTATTTCCTAAAATGATTAATGAAAATTCAATTGATGTAAATTACTTCAGGATATTGTGAGTGATTCAGAACCAAAGGGCTCGTCTCATTTCTTAGCTTAGTAAGTAACAGCCGCAGATTAACTTAATAAATGTGAGCAAATGCTAGTGAAAAATATCATTTACATGATTTTACATATAAGGATCAAATTTGTAAAACACTCAATGTGCTAGAAATCTTTTAAATTCCACTTTCTACCAACTCAATTCATACTCTTTTTTTTTTTTTGGTTAAGTATGATGTGATTTTGAGTCTTTAGTTCTGCAGGAAAATTTCACTAAGCTGTATTTCCAGCAAAATTATTGCTATGAGAGCACTTGCAACATAAAACAAAATTTTCCTAACTCCCTAAGAAGCAAATGGGAATAAGAACCTTGAACTAAGGAAAAGAAAATGAATATGGGAATCTGTATTACTACAAGTCACCAAAAAGGCATGGGGTGCCATGACAACCCCGGGTCATCTTTTTTTCTGTAAAGGGTCAGGTAAATGCTTTGTGGACCATACAGTATCTGTTGAAAGTACTCAAATCTTCCCTTGTAGCGTGAAAGCAGTCACAATACCCAAATAAATGGGCATAGCTTTGGTAGATTTACTTTTGAATCATAGTTTGTCTGACTTCTACAAATTATTCTTTGGAGATTTAAGATTCATTTCCTGGGAAATTATGTGAAAATTACTTTAAAACACATACACACATGAGTTGTATATGTATATCTCAGGGACCAGAGATAAAAGAATGATTGACATTAAATACAGTTTGGATGGTTGTCCTCTCCAAACCTCATGTTGAAATGTGATCCCCAATGTTGGAGGTGGGGCTTAGTGGGAGGTGATTGAGTCATGGGGTGGATCCCTTGGACAGCTTGGTGCTGTTCTTATAATAATGAGTGAGTTTTCTCTCTAGTAGCTCACAAGAGAACAGATCGTTTAAAAGAGACTGGCGCCAACTCCCTTCTCTAACTTCCGATCTCATTATCTGACACAACTGCTCCCTCTCTGCCTTCTGACATAATTATAACTTCCTGATGTCTCACCAGAAACTCAGGAGATACCATTGCCATGCAGAATCATGAACCAAAATAAATCTCTTTGCTTTATAAATTACCCAGCTTCAACACAAAATGGACTAGTTCTGCATTCAAACAAGTGAGAGTATAAATATTAGCCCCTAAATTATTAATAGTCCCTCTGCCTGAGCCTGCGGGCTTGAGACCAGCCCAGGCAACTTGGTGAGACCTCATCTCTACAATAAATCAAAAATTAGCCGGGCATGGTAGTGTGTGCCTGTAGTTCTGGCTACTTGGAAGGCTGAGGTGGAAGGATCGCCTAAGCCCAGCAGGTCATCGCTAGGGTGGCTGTGAGCGTGCCACTGTACTCCAGCCTGGGTGACAGAGTGAGACTCTAACTCAAAATAATATTAATAATAATAATAATAATCCCTCTTGCCTATACCTTTAGGATCACTGGGCATAAGGAATGACTTAAATCCCAAGTTAGATATTCCCACTCACTCAAATCACAAGACCTTTTAAAAATTTGAGGGAAACACAGAAACATCTGTCAGGTATGAAATGACGGGCTACTATTACATGGTTTGGGACTAACTACTTAATAAATGGTCATGTGAGAACATTCTTTAGGCTTACAGAGGACCATTAATATGTTACTGAAACTTAAGGTACCATGAGAAAAATTACAACACCATAAATTATAATATTCAATTTGTACTCTATGCTACTATATATAAATTGGCTTGTAGACATATAAAGTAGATCATGTTAAAAGGAGGCAGTAAGAGATGATAGTTCTCAACTTATAGACATAATTATATCCTTTACAAAACAGATGAACTGCTCTACAGAAAAGAACAAAGAAAGGACAAGCCTATTACATTTTTATCATTTACAAACTGATGATTTGAGTTGGGAGAGAACTTAGGGAAAACAACAACTTTTGGAAATTCTAATGTAAAATCGATTGTATTTGAGTAGCCCAAAATAACCTTTTAAATGGAAGGTAAAGATTAATCTGAAAATTAATTTCTGTCATTTTTGATGCAATGAACCACAGCAAACATTAAATGAACATAAATATTCTACATCGATGGGTTTTCCAGGTCAATCTTCAAAATGAGCTGAAAACACTATTTAAAAGAACAGTATGATTTTGCAGCCTTAGCATTGTTGTTTAGAGTTTGAAACTAAATTCAGGGTCATCAAGGAACCCACATTTCTACAGTCTGGGGTGCTTCTGCCAGTGTGTTAGAGGACTTCTCAGTCCTAGAAGATTAGCCTAATAGCCACAGAGATGAACCAAAACATTGATTTGGGACAAGGGCAGCAAACTAAGACAGGGAAAGAGCAAACAATTGGTAGACTCTCATTTTTCCATGACTGAACAACGACAATATATCAGTATATTGTATAACTTTCACCTGGAGGATGGAAAAACGTTTCTTCCTACTTGGCTCATTTGAGCTCAACCAGGACAGATGCCTGGAGTCTTCTCTAAAGCAATGTCTGATTCCTTTGAAGGAGTAAGAGGGTTCACTTTCATGGCAAGGCTTCTATCTTGCCCTGCGTAGATCTCTGAGCCACATGACAGGGAACAGACTGAGTCTTGAAGGAAGTTAAAAATCACACAATCAAATCGTCTTGAGTACATCACAGAGCATTTATGAAAATTGGAATTTTAAACAACCAAATATAAATTAACCAAGTTTGTTATTGCTTTCCAAGGTATGTATAGAAATGGTTGGGCTTTATGAGCTGAAATTATATTATCTGATCTCAGGTAATATCCACAAGGAGTAAAAATGACAAAAATTTGCTCTTCATAGATCAAAATATAAAAAGAAGAAATGCCACACTTGGTTACCATGGGTGGGTAGCTGATATCTCTCCAGTGGTCTTTCTCTCTGTCTTTATTATTCCTTTTTTTTCTATTTGCCAAAGTGCCAGAAACTTATCCTGAGTATGTCATGGAAATAAATGGGCTTTGAAAAAATTTTATAGAAAATTATTGGGTACATTTCTGCTTATCATGTGGTTATGAATATTATATATAATACCAAATTACATGTACATAAATGTTTAAAAAACACTGCAGACACACACAGAGTCTAACTGTTTGCTAATTGGTTTAAGCAGTAAAATGTTCAAATGTTAGCAATGACCCTGATCAGGAACATATCAGAGATGAACATTAAGAAAATTAGAATATGACCTAATTGGCAGTAGTTACAATAATATTACACATCTTTTATGCAGTCAAATGTCTGGAAATTTTGCATCATCTAAAGTAGACTTAGATAACCAGACTGAATGTTCTGCAACGACAAATAAATTACATAATGGCATTGTAATTATGTAATTGGCTCTGCTCTATGTATTTGTCAATTATATATTGAGTCAACGTTCATCAAGAAACATCTACTGCTGATTCACTTTGTTGACCTTTTTTTAAAAAAAAATTTGCTTCACAAGAACAATCCCAAAACAGAATAAATGATTTACTAATTGTATCCTTTGCTTTTTCTGGCATTTACTTTTCTTTTTCAATTTGAAATGCAACCAGCTGCTTGTGTGCAATAGAAACTGATTTACGAAACACAATATCTCTCTCCGAATCTTCAGCCTGTAGGCAACCTACCATGCAACCCACCCTGCACGTGAAACTAGACCCAGGGATTACTAAACATTCTAAATTACAAAATACTATGTTTAAAATACCATGAAATTGAGGTCACAGTGAAAGGTAAGTTGTTCCTTTCTTTTTAAATCTGCCACTAAAAGTGACTATAGAACCTTAAGGACTATCCTAAAATCAGAATGTAAAAATTTTCAAAAGTCCTTTTTTGAATCCACGTGTAATGGCAGTGTTGAGTAAACCCTTCGAAGGAAATTTTAAAAATGCCAGCTAATTGCCATATTCCCATTTTGGGGGTAACTGGCATGATATCACCATTATAATATAATCTTCATCATGCCAATTTGGTATGGTTCAGTAGGTTTTTAGAAAGCCATATTGCCTGTGACACAAGGATGGTGTCCATCTTAGCCCGGGCCTACAATGTGCAATCCTTCCTAAATGGAGACACATGGCTGGTCAACAGTAGATTTTGGTAAGCAAGAATACTATTGGCTTCATGGCAGCACTCAGGAGACACCAGGCTGTGGTCAAGATTCCAGGGCCCAAAGAGGAATCAGAGGAACTATGGCCAGTGGATAATTTGGCAATGCCCACAAAAGTGTTGCTCTTTAAAGTCATGCTGGGAAACACTTCTCGGAAACAATTAATGGGCGGGAGTGGCCAATAAGCTTTTTATTCAGTCTGTAATATTTCTGAAACATTTTCTTTTTGGCCTCCCACCAACTCATCAATGTAAAAACAGAGGCAGTTCAAATCTAAACATTAGAAATTCAAGTGTTGCTTTGCTGAAAATAAAAGGTACTCTAGACCAGTGCTAGTATGGTAGCCACTAGCCAAATGTGGATATTGAACACTTGATGTACCAAAGATGTAACATATGCTATTAATTTTGAAAACTTAGTATAAAAATAAATATTTCAAAATATCTTACTAATCTGTAATATTCACTATTTATTGACACAATAATTTGGATGTATTGAATTAAAAATACTATAATTAAGTTCATTTTCTTTTACTTTTTAAAATGTGGCTAATAGAAAATTTGAAATTACATATATGACTTTCATTATATTTATATTAGACAGCACTTGTTCTGAATAATACCTTCTACAACCATACTGTTCTAAATATGGCCTTATTTATGTGCCCTTGGGACAAATGAGCTCTTACAGTTTGAGAAAAACTGCTGGGGTTCCAATTATACTTTTTAAATGGGAGAAATTCAAGATTGTCCTTCATGGTAAAAAAAAAAAAAAATTAGTTTATCCTATATTTCTGAACTTATCTCAAAATAAAAACCAATAATGCAAGGTGATAGTTGTCAGTTCTAAAATGCAAAAGGAATTGATTGTTCTTTGCTGAAGTTTCTTTGATACTTTCACTGGAGATCTATGTTGTCAATTAGGAGTAGTGTTATGAAGTCAAATTAAATCTACCTCTGTTTAGCTTAGCAATCTTTGAGATAGATAATATATCTCTATTTTAAACAAGCAATATCAACATTGGTTGCTCTTTAAAACATTTTAACATAATTACCCTAACTTAGAACGTATTTATATGAAATCTATGAATAATTTGACTGAAATAACCAATTCTTGTGAAAGTATGACTTGTTTCTCACTAAAATAGCTAAATTAGTCATTTTGTAGGCATTATCAGAACTTAATCTTAAACAGACAAGTAAAAATTTAAAACCCTTGTTGATTTTTAGAGAAAACAGTTTATAGGTTAAGAAAGAATTATCCTCAACTTTCAAGTACTCACCAACAAGCGGGCAAGTACACTCATTTAAATGGGTAAATTCTAAAACACACATTGGCTCTGGCATTTACAATGCCATTTGTATAGTCTACAGGGCCAATCAAGGCAGTCAGCTCTAGTGTTGGAAAGATGAACAATTACCCTGGGAACAATATGGGGGTGGGCCTGGAGGAATGATGTGTTCTGATCTTCTACCTAGATGCCATTTCTAATAAGACCCGTTTCCCTCTCTTTTTCATTGATCCTATATATGGGACACTTACCATATTTATCTGTCAAGTACATGGGGAGATTGATCCTCTTAAATGGAAATCTTAATGCTTAATGAAGGCATTCTTAAAGGTTAAAAATAGTGAGCCCTTTGTAACAGCCAAAATGGGAATTCTGAGAGAAAACAATGTACAGAAAGAAGAAAGAAAAGAAGGAAGACAAGGATAAGGGCTCTCTACTAGATAGTAAAAATAAAACAAAACAAAAAATAATCCTTTGAACCCAGATGATGTGCTCCTCAGGGCCTCCACATCACTGACCAGTAAGATCCCTGAACCCTGAAAGCTAAGAAGTCCTATCTTGTTCTCTTCTCATGAGAACAGTAATCAAGGGAAATTTGTGCTTGGAAAGCAGAATATCTGCTGAGGTTCAATAGCGCCCAGAAACCAGAGATTCAATTTCATTTTCCAATATAATATTTTTGAGGAAAAGCTGAAATAATTTAAGATCTCTCCTTTTTTAATGAGGATTTTTATGTGTGGCACTTTTATCATCTTTATTTTGGTCTCTTAAAATAATTCTTTTTCAAAATTCTTTTTAGAAATTAAGGAAACCCATAAAAATGTGATGCATAATTAATTTGATAAAATGTTCATTTCAACTCAAACTAAATAAATTTGAGATGCTTGGACTTAGTGTGATTTCTGTAAGGGAAAAGTGTTCCCAGGAAAGTAAAAAAAATCGTATTCTTGGAAAAATCATAAAATATAAAATCTAATCTTCGAGCTTTTTGAGGCTGATTTGAAATGTGTTTTTTTGATTTTTGTTTTTGTGTGTTGCTTAAGGTAAATATGTTGCATTGTGCTAAATTTCTTAATATGGACATTCTCAAAACTACATTGTAAAAATGTAGGCAATTAAGTGCCTACATTGTGGGCACTCCCATTCCTAGTATGAGAAAAAGATAAACTAGCTTTCAAAAATAGCTACAGTTCATAAGCGGTATATCTAGATAACCATCAATTGGAAGAAAAAAGAGTTTCTGTAAACAATACTGTTTCCTTACTCTAGTAAAAGTCAACAATGAATGATTTTACAATGGAATATTATTCCTACACTATTTAGACATGTTGGCACTACCTTGTAGAATAGATTTTTCTAAATATTTGAAACGTGGTAATTATAGAGTTTATCCATTAAAATGTTTCATCTGCAAGGTTGTATAAATTCATGAATGAAGATAATTTTGTCCGTAAAATGAAAAACAATTAATCTTATCTTTGCCAGTGTAAGACCAGTCTTTCCTCTTTTTCTTCCCAGTTTCTTTACTACCCCTAAGTTTCGTCCATTAGAAGGTCATCTTATTGGAGAGCAGGTGAAAGATTGAAACTCAGCATACATTTCACTTAGCAGGTGAAACTCAGCATGAGTTTTTAAAATACTTTCCCCAGGATTATAAAATGACAAATTTTAAGATAGGAAATTTCAGTTATTATTAATATAGTATATATAAATATGACTCAAAAGGCATACTCCACAAAAGCTTTAGGGGCAAAGGAGTTCATGGCCTTTAAAAGTCTGTTTCAATTTTTTAACATTGCAAGTAGATTTTTGTTTTGCACATACTATCCCCTACAACCATTTCCTTGTAAACAGTTTGAACACATTAATGATAATAGGTAAAATGTTGTAAAAGTCATGGGACTATGTCCTGTAGCACTACCTAGTATTAGCTAAGTAGTAGTGCAAAGGAATTGCTGTCTTGTGAAGAAATCCAAAAGATGTAAAATGGCTAAGTTTTCAAAGCAAAAACAATTTGCTACAATTCACTTCAAATATGTACCACTGGTTACTGAAAATGTACACTTTTAAGTGTAATGTTGTGTTTACTTGCAATTTCAAATTTAAACTCATCGGTATTAGGTATCCATTACATGCCATAGAAGACACTATTATTTTCATAAAGCAGTCACATGCATTGAAAGTTAGGATTACCAACTGGTATATATGTATTTTTTGTTTTTTTTTGCACCTCAAAAAGAGAATCACTATAGTGCATATCATGCTTCCACACCTTTCTTGCTGAAGGACCAAGTACATAAAATGCAGAGATTTGGCTTCCAGATCTGAAAGAAGCCAACTTAGTACTCTGGCAGGATCACATCTTGCTGTGGAACTCCAAATCCCACAGCAGGGTTTCCTTGCCCTTCGCTGGGTGCTGCCGCTTCCTCCACAGTCTTCAGCTTCTCCTCTCCTAGGCCCTCCTCTATTTCCTGGTTGACCACCTTTATCCCATCCTCCAGTGCCTTGGGCACCATTTTAGGGCCCTCCTCAGCATTTATATCTGCATCTTTAGCTTCCTCTAAGGCCTGTATGTTCATCAGCTCAGCCTCTGCCCCCTTAACTGCTGCTTGGGCCCCATCTCCTTGAATTTTCTCTCCTTCTGGAAGGGCACTGATGTCCTCGTTGCCATCTTGGATTGGAGATGGATCTTGGCTCGCCTTGTGGCTCTCCTGGATGCTGCCATGGCTGCTGCTGGCACTTCCCAGCCGGGAAGAGGCCACCACAGCCTTCACTGCTGCCTGATTGGAAACAGAAGGGTGTCAAGTGTTACCTCTACTTAAAATCCCAAACCAGAACTCAACCCCAACACTGCTTTTAAGGAGTCTGTTTTATAGAATAGTGTTCAGTCCTTCAAAGTGTATTATTCCTAGATTGTTTGCTGAATAAAAATTTGTTTGGGGAGAGGACAGTAAAACCTCTTTAATTCCAAATTAATGTATTTAATCATCTGGACAATTTACAGCCTGAGTAGATGTGTTCATCCATGGATAATCAGTTTTCAAAAATTTTAGACTATGTTTCTCAAAGTATTTGTTTTATGGAATACTAGTTTCGTGGATGTTAGTAGTTATTACTACATGGATGTTATTATGAGAATAAAAGAGTTCCATGGTCAAACTAGCTTGAGAAATGCTAGGTTAGGTCAACGACATTTAATTTAGGGTATTTAAAATTAATTCGACTATAGAACCCTTTGGATTTATTTAGTCTGTATCAGCCTGTGAGCAATGGCTGATAGGACTCTATTTTTGACCTCCAGCTGTTCTCTGAGATCCCCTGCTTATATAGCTATTCCTAAACACTCTTATGTAATAGAAAAGCACTTAATCTTTATTCTGTATGCATTATATAAAAACAGATATATTTTGGTGAGTAATTTTCTATATAATTTAAATTTTTGACAAGTATAGTTATTATCTATATGACTAAATGCAGTTTTACAAATTATTTCCCAATTTTCACATATTCAGAAAGAAAACACCTTTTTTAATAGATATCAGTCACTCCTGAACAACAATGTTCAAGCAGTTCAGTTTAATTAGATGAGAAGTAGCAGTAATATATTTGGTGAGTAAATCTCAACTTATAACATGTTTTCTTTATTAATAGCAAATTTCTTGTAAGAGGATAACAAAAATTTTAAGAAGCTTTGTGTCAGTATTGGTGCAATTTCAAAGTGGGATTTCCCTGGTGCCATAAGAAATAAATAATAGTACTGGATGAAGAATGGTAGAACCATCACTGAAAAGTCAAGATAAAAGATAATTTAAAAAGCAAAACAAAACATGTTATTTTACCTTAAGTTTGCGCCGAGCATTGAATTCTTGGAGTTTCTTTTGAGCAGTGTCCATGTGTATAAAATTGGCTGCTTTACCCGTGACCCACGGGTGCTGGAGAGCTTGAAAGGTAGTCAGCCTTTTCTTTGGATCCAAAACAATTAATTTTCTGACCTGAAATGATAAAGAATCATAAAACGTAGGAATATTTTTATGGTGACCTGTACTTGCCCTCGGTTTTCAAACTTTCTAAGTCTTGTACTATTTCCCTAATAGTACAAATACATATACATTTAAAACAAACAGAAAAAAATGGTTTAAGTTCTCAGGAATCACTGTGGATAGGACTCGCTTCAGGTAGCAGTAGCTGAGAGAGTATGAGACGAAAAGAGTTTTGAACCACCTGAGACCCCAAACTGGCAGGCTGCTTTCCAGCATCAGTCAAAGAAACAGGTCCTCGCTTATCTGTGGACTAGAAAATTCTTTGAGGGTGGAACCAGCAAAATGATTCTAGGCTGAACTATGATATCACCTAGAATTCAGAACTTCAACTACATCTCTATGCTAATGGAATCATTACTGCATCCTCATTCTTTCCATGGGATTAAGTGGCAAACAAAAGGGCTAGTATCCCAGCCCTTTTGGAATTTTTTTTTTTCAGGTTTTCTTTTCTTTTTTTTTTTTCCTCTTTTAATTTTTATTTTAAAATTGTGGGGTGCAATTCAGGGTTAGGTATACAGATATTCATTGTGCAGGTACCCTTGTTGATGAGGTGTGCCTCCCCTTCCCTAGGCGGATATCAACTACTGTCAATCCCACCTCCCCACCCTCCCCATCCTCCGCAGTACCCTGCTACTGTCAATCCTTTCTTTATAGTATTATGGTAGTTGTTCAAGGTCTACTTATGAGTGAGAACACATGATACTCAGCTCTTTGTTTCTGTGAGAGATCACTCAGTATTATAAATTCTAATTCCAGGTTGCTGCGAAGTTCATGATTTTGTTCTTCTTTATGGTTGCGTAATATTCCACTGTGTATATGTATCACATTTTTTTATCCAGTCCTCTTTGATGGGCAGCACGGTTGGTTCCATGTTGTTGCTAATGTGAACAATGATGTGATAAATATACATGTGCAGGTATCTTTTTTATAGAGTGGTTTGAGTTCTTCTGGGTATATTCCCAGTAGGGGGATTGCAGGGTCATATGGAAGGTCAATTTTTAGAACTTTTAGGAATCACCACACTGATTTCCACAGAGGCTGTGCTAGTTTACATTCCCACCAACAGTATAGAAGTGTTCCCTTTCGCCACATCCTCTCCAGCATCTGTTATTTTTTGTTATTGATGATGGCCATTCTGACTGGAGTTAGGGGGTATGTCAGTGTAGTTTTAATTTGTATCTCCTTGATGCAAAATGTTCAGTTGGTGAGGCTGAACATTTTTTCATGTATCTGTTGGCTGCTCAAATGTCTTCTTTTGAGAAGTATCTATTCATATCTTTTGCTCACTTTGTAATGTGGCTGTTTGTTTTTTTCTTTTCAGCACATTTGAGTTCCTTGTAGATCCTTGATGCTAGGCCTTTGTCAGACATGGAGTTGGCAAATATTTTTTCCCAGTCTGTGGGCTGTCTCCCTGCTCTCTTGATGACTTCTTTGTCTTTGCAGAAGCTTGTTGGAATACTTCTTATGAGTCTATCTTTGGACATATAGTTTTTTTCTTTCTAATCCCTTCAAACAACAAGCCCGGTGCTAAGAAACCATTTTAGAATCTAAGTGAAGAAGTCAGTGGCTTGAGGGCATGATTCCTTAAAACTGAATCCAACGGAGGGCAGCTTGTTCTGGGAGATTTACTCTAGCTTGTGAGGATGAGCAGATCGCAAATTGAGAAGAGGGTCAGCAAATGGAATAATCCCCAGCCCTGGGCTCAGCAGGGGTGACTTGGTATGAGGTAGAGACTACTGGAAATCATGAAATGTGTTCAAGTCCTGGTTATACCTCTACTCTTGTGACCCTAGACATAAACATACATATGAATTGAGTGCTGATGAACACACCCCCAGTCTCTTTCCTTACGGGATCTCATTTCCACCTTAATCTCTTTGCAAATGCATTCTTAAATGCATATAAACATGTTTAAAAACTTATGTAATTATTTTAATAGCCTTATCATTTGGAAATATTAGCACCAGTTCATAAATGAAGGATGGAAGGAAGCTCAGAAAGACTTAACAACTTGCCTAAGATCAGACAGTTTGTAATTGGTAAAGCCTGTATTCAAACTGAGGTCTGTGTTATCTCAGAGCTCCTCATGTGGCCACTATACCATGATCCCTCCAGGGTGGTCAGTCTCTCTGGACTTTGACCTGCTCATGTGTAAAGTGAAAGCTTTGGGTGATTTTAGGTCTAAGATCTTTTCTAACTCTAATATCCTAAGAAGAAGTGAACACAGGCTAACAAAATCAGACAGCAAGTCAAAATGAGGACCACATATTGTCTGGTTCTTCCTTTTCTTTCTGTAATGCTTGCAAAAGAATGTGCGTTTGGGCTAGAGAGGCAGAAACAGGAAGTTGTTTAGGCTTAAAATCTGAGAGACGGTGAAAGAAAGGTTAAGAGGTAGAATGCAAGCTGGGTGCAGTGGCTCATGTCTGTAACCCCAGAACTTTAGGAGGCCAAGACAGGACTGCTTGAGCCTAGGAAGCCATGATTGTGCCACCGCACTCCAGTCTGGGCGACGGAGTAAGACCCCGAGTCAGAGAGAGAGAGAGAGAGAGAAAGAATGCATGGTAGTAGATAAAAATCTGGCAGTAGTCATAGCTATCACCTGTTGAACATGTGTACTAATAATTTTATTAAATGAGACCTAATCTTTGCAACATCCTTAACAATTAAATATTTTCCTCTTATGTGTCAATGATTCTTTTCCTCTTCCTCATTATTACCATCTACCTTATAAAAATGCAAAGAATTTATTGACAGTCAATATGTGCCAAAAATTTACCTACATAATGTTCATCATTACATTTGAAGAAACTGATGCACTGAATTGTTAAGAAACTTGCTGAAGATCAAATAGATCCAATGACTTTCTCAGGATTCACACTCAAAGCTTCAGCATTATCCTATGACCGGCACCCCTTAAAAACCAACTCTCCCACTTGTCCACACTGTAACCTCTGCTGGTGGCACAACAGATGTTGGTTTTGCCCGTAAGTACATATTTATGGAGCTCAAGGAGAACTCTAGCCCTAAAGTTTTATACAGCTATGAACCAACACAAGATCTAGCTGGATGAAGGAATATGAAACTCACCCTCTTATCCATTTAGTGTTTATTAGGGGTTAAACGAAATGGAAGGAGGGCTAAATAAGATTATTATTAAATTAGTTGGTGCCAGTTACTTCACATGCATTGTATTCCTTGATTCTCATAAAAACCTAAAGATAGGTACAATTATCATTCTAGATGAGAAAACTAAAACATAAATAGCAAGATCAAGGTCACATTTTTAGGCGATGACAAAGGGGGTACTCGAATCCAGGTGTGTCCGACTCTAAAACTCCACGATTTATTTCGACTCATCGATTTATTCAAGAAATGTTTATTGAGCACTATATGTCCTATATGGTACTAAGATCTGAGCATACATGCTTCTTCCTCTTCCAGAGCTTATTATCTAATTAGGGAATTGAACATGTAATGGTAAGTGATGACTATCATGAAAGGGGGAGTCTAAGGGCAAAGGAAGCATGCAGCAGAAAGAATCAACTAAGGAAAGGAGGAACTGAAGGGGAAGGTAGACCATGCTTTCCAAGGGATGTCTAGTGGCAGCTAGGGCTTGAGGACGACAGTTACCCAGGCAATAAGGGAGTATGTGTGTGTGTGTGTGTGTCGGGGGGGGGTGTTTGTGTGCGTGTGTGCGTGGGGGGAGGTTTGCGTGTGTGTGTGTGGGGGTGTTTGTGTGTGTGTGTGTTTAATAGAGAAGAAGAAGGCAAGGAGAAAGAAGAGAATATTATAAAGTACAGAAAAGAGCAGTGGCCAATATCCTGAGCTACACTGAGAAGGAAATGGAAGTCTGGAGCACTAGGTTGAAGAGTGATCAAGAAAGAGTGATATGAAATGAGTGATAATGTGGGAGAGGATGGCAGATTCCAGACGAAGAAGTGTTATGTAGATCTTGTTATGAGTTTTGGATTTTTAAACTAAGATCCTTAAAACAGGAGAGTGACATGATGTGATCGACTTATAACATGGATCCTGTGTAGACAGTATATTTGTGAAGGGCAAGAGAAGAGACAGGGTAACCCAGTAGGAGGTTGTGGCAGTGGTCCAGGTGGGAGAGAACAGTGGCTTGGATTGAGATAGAGGTGATGGAGGAGGAAAGAAGTAGGTGATACAAGAGATGTTAGGAGTGCAGGGTCTAACTTGAGGGAGGAGTGGGATAACATCTACACATCACATACGCTGGCCATCTCCTCCCAGTCACACTGGAAAAGTCATGGGCCTGGAAGGATCCATGAAAAAACACGGAGAGTATGAAATAAACCCTTGAATGGAAAAGAGCACTGTAAAGGGAGGTCTGGAAGCCTGCATCAGTCTTAATAACGTCCTTCTGCCTGGAAGCTGTGTGACCTCTGGCAATTCACTAACCTCCCTGGTTTTTCAAACGCTCATCTTTAAAATAAGAGAAGGGCTGGGTGACTCCTAACGCACTTTGTAAATCTAAAATTCTTGACTCAAAAGTCGGCTCTTGATTACTTCTGTGTCGATTTTCTCTAGAGGATTGATGGTAATTGTTTCAATCCCACGTTATCACTCTCTTAATTTTAGAAGAGGTGAACCACCTCCATAGAGGGTAAGTGTTTCCTCAGCGCAAGCAAACTTCAATATTAGCTTAAGTGAGAAGCAACATAAAACAAACACAATGCAATACTCATACAGTGGACCATTTTTATAATGCCGATGCTGCATATTGGGACCTATGTTACTATGAAGATATTTTATAAGTTTGAATGAAATTTTAGGAAACAACTTTGTTTTATTTTAAGAATATTTAAATCTAGGTAAAAGCAATCCATGTTAAATTTTTCTATGTAAATTATGTTTGGATTCACCTAGCACAGCTTTCTTCATAAGCAAAGCTCTATATTGATCAGGTAGTCAAAGTTCCTTAATTAAAACTGCAGTAATTGTAACTTGTAATAATTCAGCCTGAGATGAGTCAAAACATACCTTTTTAAAACTATCTATTAGGAAAATCCATTAATGTGCATTATTTTATTTAAAATACTTTAAAATTGAGAGGAAATATGGTATTATTAGGGACAATTTTTAAAAAATAACCCTGCTCGTTAATTAGTTAAAAATCCACTTATTTCATTTTGCTTGTTGCACTTACCAAGTCCTTGGCATTTAGAGATACTTCATCCCACCAGGGGGAGATAAAGTAATATTCACAATTCAGAATTCTCCTGAACATGAACTGATCACCTCGTTCATCATAGAATGGTTCAAATCCACAAAGTCTAGAGGGACAAAAATATAGAGAATACAATGTCTTTAGAAGTTCAAGTATATTTCATCAAATTTCTGCAGAAACTCAAGTCTGTCCTTTTCCCACAGTTTTCTGCTATGGAAGCAAGTCTACTCAGCACAAGCATGTAACTCTCTTGTTACAAGTCACTGTTGATAGTAAAACACACAATCAAATCTTCGGGCAGAAGGAACCGATATAATCAAGTTAGAATTTCTACAAAAAGCTATAATGATAATAATTATTATTGTGACACAAAGGACAATAATAATAATATTATTATAGACAGTAAACCAAGACCTTCCATGAATTTTTTATTCATAGGAATTAAGAAGATAGACAGACAGGCAGACAGAAATGGATTAGAATTCCAATGAAAGAATTAGGATTTTGAGAATAAAGAGATTAAAAAGTAAAGATTTTTTCTTCATTTTTCCCCTGTCCTATTCTATAAAATTCTTCATAGAAATGAGTAAGGCAATAAGACATTTCAATCTCATTCCTGCTTAGATTTCAGAGTGAATAAAGATGGGAGCTAAGATGATTGCCAGGGAATGGCCTTCAAAAATGTATTAATTCAGTGACCAGATGCAGCCAACAGAGAGGAGCAGCCTGGAGTCACCTCAATCTGTAAGTGACCCTCATTTCTGAGTATCTTAAAGACATTCTACTATGCTCACCTTCATTTTCTACCACAAAGTTAGCTTAAAAATAAATGGCAAAAATGGGAGAAAAGGAACAGAAAACCACCTTGGGCATCCGAAAGAAAGAGAGGAAGAGTGAGTTGTTTGAGACCACCAAGCTGCCACTTTTATAGATGAGTGGAGGTACTAAAATCACTACGGACAAAAAAATAAACTGGAAAAATAAAAAGTAAATAAGAGCTCCACCATGGCATGTGTTGCCTTTGACAAGAGTGGTGGTGGGGGAAAGAATGAATACGTTATATCTTCCCAAGTTCTGCCGTCAAGCCGGCCAGTTTGCTGCAGAGCATGAAAAATTCAAGTGCATCCTAATAGGATGGTTGGTTTTTTTTTTTTTTTTAGGAAGAAGGAATTTCTTAAGCCCTTTACTCACAGAAGGCTGCACTGGGAGACTCTTTGTCTCTTCCAAATACTCTGGAGCTAGCAAGGAAAAGGCAAAGCTTGACAATACTGAAGACTAGACCAGTGCATTCTACCTTTCTCTACTGAGCAGTCTGCACAGAGGACCTGCTCCAGACCTACCTGTGGAAGGAAAGCTTAAGGAGAGACAGAAGCACATGTCCATGCCTTGACAGGGAGAGTCTGGCCTTGCCTGGCCCTGCCCTGCCCTCTACAACACTAGAAAACTATGGCCTGTCATTGGTAAGTCACGGAGAAATAAGACAACTTTCCAGACTCAGTTTATGTTTCCCCTTCTGAAAAATCTAGCAACAAAAATGAAAATTCAGAAGTTACAGTGCTCAAATGCCTTTTCTTTTATTGTAATCATGTCAATGACTTTGGGTTACTTGTGCACTCTGCTCCCTTCTGACTCCAAGCCATTCTAGTGCAATGAGTCAGGTATGTAGAGGTCATATTCTCAGATGACTAGTAGGCCATTGAGTACACGCCAAAGTTAAACCAGTACAATAAAAGAGATACATAGGTCTGATGGTACAATCCACTAGAGAAAATGTGCCAGTGAATCTTGCCAGGTAGACTTCACTAATTATTAACTAACTACAGATTAAGTAAACAGTCCTCAAGTTTAGGTGCTGACAGACACTAGTCTAGAACTAAAAGATATTAGTTGTAAGTAGCACGGTGCTTTTCATTTTGGGGATTATTATTATTCTCATCTGACACCTACCGATTAATTACCCTAACTATATAAGGGTAAAATAAATTTAAAAGTAGTTTATATAATTATCTTCAGGATTATAATAACATATTTCTCAAATGATTATAATTTTTTCCTTCATTTTACCAAGTCAATGGCCATATTATAAAGTTTTACTTACTCCATATTCTAATTTTTCTGGGCAAATGCAACTTAATTTCCTATTTCTATCTTTAAGTTTTAAAAAAAATATTGTTAATACTTCAACTTCCACAGTATATTTCAACACAAAATTGCAATTGGATGTTTTTACATTTTAAGGCTAACCTGAATCCTTCTTTGCATGCATTAACTACATAATTTAGGAGACATATTCTTTCTCTAGTATAAAGGTGATCTCAAACACAAGAAGAAAAAAATTCTATGATGTGTCCAGATTCATTTTAGTGAATCAAGCATTTCATGTGGCAGACACATATTAGCTAACAGTTTGTATTTTCAAAAGAAAAAATAATGGTTCTCCACCTCTCCATATTTTTCCAAAGCTTTAATACATTTTAGAAACACTGAAAATTGAACACTGAAAATATCTTTTGACATTACATATTAGCAGATGGCTATTTTATGGGTTGTTTGTTAAACTTTTTTGTCTTGGCTATAAACACACACACACACACACACATGCACACACACTCCAAGTGAACTTAGAGTTTGCTAACTTGTTTAGGGGTCCTACTCCAATTGCCCCATTCCTAGCCCATATGGCCTGAACTTATATTTGTTAAAAACATATATATATTTTTAAACCTCAAATCAACTCTTTCTTCTGTATATTGAATTGTGTCCCCCTCATTCCCAAATTCATATGTTGCAGCCCTAACCTTCAATTGATAGTATTTGGAGATGGAGCCTTTGGGAGGCAATCAGCTTTAGATGAGGTCGTGAGGGTGGGGCCTTCATCCTAGGAATTAGTCTCCTAAGAAGAGACACCACAGAGCTTGCTCTCTCTCTCCACTATATGAGGACACAGTGAAAAGGTGGCCATCTGCAAGCAAGGAAGAAGGCCCCTAATCAAAATTCAATCATGCTGGCGCCCTGACCTCAAATTTCTCAAACAGCCTCTAGAGCTGTGAGAAAAATTTCTGTTGTTCAAGCCACCCAGTCTATATATTTTATTATGGAACTCCAAACAGACCAATATACCTTCTTTTGAGCCCTTCGTCTCTTTATAGATTTGAGTATATGGGTTCCAACAACTCACTCTGCCACCATAATGCCACCATATCTGCTTGTTTTGAATTAAACTCTTGAACTCATTGATATCTTGTTTTATAGTTGTTCTGCAGCAATCTTTCTTTTCAGACACTTTTATTTAAATCACTTGTGATTCCATTATGTCTCTGGCAAATTTCCAGAAACTTCTTATTTCTTATTGGACAGAAGCTCAGGAATGAAGTTGGGGATAACATAGAGTGAAATATTTAGATTATTTCTTTTTTGTCCCATAGAAATATGGAGACTATTAAAGCCAAGGCCCTTAAAAACCTAACAAGCATAGGAAACAAAATTGATATCCAAAATGCACTTAAAATATTCCTGATACACCAGTTTGGAATTGCTTACAAACATAAACATTCCCCTTTAAAAGGACTAAGAGTCTAATTATTTTAGATGAGATGCAAATAACTAAAACAAGAGCAAGTTTAATAGGTGAACTTGGGTTTTCACATTGATTTTTCTATTGTCAAATAATGAATTGTTCCCCAAATCTACTGTATATTACATAGTGAAATGAGATATAGAAAAGCCCTGGACAAAAATTCTGGTTCCAAGAAAATTACAAAATAAAATGCAAAGTTCATTTTCAGAAAATTCTATCACTAACTACATTTAGTATATAATAGAAAAATCACAAAAAGTCAAACAGTAATCTTAGTTTTTATGAGGACTGGAGGAACCCAGAAAATGCCACAGAGAGGCAAACAATTTGCATAAAGATTGCTTTTCTTCACTTACAAGATGTAGGTGATTATTCCTACAGACCACATGTCCACCTCAGGTCCGTAGGCACAGCCTCTAAGAATTTCAGGTGCTGCAGAAAGAGTGAAAATTGTGTTAAATTGGAGCTTAAATTCAACATTCTCATTTTAATAACAAGAAATGGGAAAGAAACAAATTTATGAACAAAATTTTAGAACACTTTTATAAGCAATTTTCTCTCCCCAAACCACATTCAACTACAAATTCTCATGTATATTTTAGTGGAAGAGATTATAGTTTATCTGTGTTCGGGATGCATAAAAATAATGCTATTAACTTTGATATTTTACATTGGGACTTCATGATACTGCTCAAATCAGGTCGCTAGAGCTCTATCTCTGCTACAAAAGACTTCTTACTTCAAAGGGAGCTTTGTAATAGAAAATAAAGAAGTGAAATTAAGCATAATAAGGGAGAAAAAGGTATAATTATGCTATCACAAGATGTATAAATGCTTGGAACAAGGGGCATCTGTCAGTGTGTGTATCTGATGATGTGTCAGTGGGGACCAGGGCAGAGAGTGGGGAGGGCTGGCAAGACTCTAGTTTTGGAAGTTTGGAACAGGAGCCAGAAGGGTCCCTGGAACATGTCCTGGCATTGAGAGCTGTATGTAGGTCTCCAGAAAGCAGCTGTTCCCAGTCATCTTGGGGTCATGAACTAAGAAAGGGGACCTCCCTGTGCACAATGAGGCAGCTCACATTAGTCCTGTCTTTTGCTGTGACAAGGGAATGTCTTTGCAGCCACGAAATGGCCTGGGAGTGAAAAATAGCAATATATTTTATATTTTTATTACCTTATATCTATGAAAATGGGTGATCAATTGCATCCAGTGATTTGTCCTGAGTATTAAGGCTGTTGTTTGTTTGCCTAACTAGCAACAGAAGAAAAGGAGAAATGAGAGTCTGTCATCTATGGAGAAATAGGGCTCAGGCCTATAGCCCTGAATAGTCGTCTTCTATTTTAAACACAAGTGCAGGAGGTGCCCAAGGAAGGAGTTGCTTGATGAATGCCAAGGACTGCTTAAAAGAGGCTTTAAGGACAAGGCCACTACACTGCTCCTCTGGGATGGCGGCTAGAGTGTAAGTGAACTGGATTCCTTTTTTCATGCAGGTTGGAAATATATTCAATGGTAGCTATCAAGGTGAGCTCTGGAAGGAGGCTGTCCTCATGGGACTCTCGATTTATGATACAGGAAGGAATTCTGTAGATATTCCATTGAATTCTTCCCATATTGTCCCTTACTTCTCGCCCTGTTCCATTTAGGGTTTTCTCTTCCCTATGGAAATTGTGTTACATAAAATATGAAGCATCTTCAAAAAGTTCACAGAAAATGAGTCTTATAAAAATTAAGTTTTTCAATTTTTTTGCACCAAAATAAACTCATGCTAGCTTGTTCTAACATGTTTGAACAGGATATAATTTGAGGCATTAAAACATAATCAGTTTGAAAAAAGCCTCTATCAAAGCAACATGAATTCAGTTAAAATGTCAGTAAGAACAAACTTTGTGAAGTCCCTCCAATAGGAGATGAAGAGATGTACTAAGGGCATGTATTCTAGCACTCTAAATAGCAATTTGGAAAGATGCACCGTTTAAGAAGTTGTATCTGCAACCAATAACTTTTTCTTATCTTCAGGTGATTTATTCCTGGAAATTTTTCAGTATTTAATTTAAAAAACAAGAAAACCGTATACTCAGTGCCAACATCACTCACTCTGTCAAGCTAGCTTTCATTTCCTGGGGCGATCTGTACCTCCTCAGAAGATGCCTCTGAGCCCCAGCAGCCCCAACAGTGAACTCCCACTGGCAAAGGGAACTCAAATTAGACTGCCATTACAGGAGGACTGCTACTGCCTGTTCTTGTCTCTGGGAGCTATTCCAGTCAGTGGGCTAGATATACGCATATTGAACATGCATATTGAGCATGCATTAGTCCTTTCACTCAGGTCTTCACATCAGTGATTCTTATCTGGTCTGATGTGATATCAAGCCCCACAGTGAGATTTAAATATAAATACAGAACTAGACAGTTTTTACATTTCTGGGTCTTGGTTTTTTACGTCTAAAGTTGAAGTGAATTAAGCTAGCTGACTTCCAAGTTAACTTTGAGTTTTAACCTGCTACCCTCTGCAATATTAGTTATGGCTCATTCAAGCAAGAAGAGAGGTCAAGAACAAATATTCTGACCTGCAGAACTTGTTGCATTTCTCATTTCTTCTGTGAGTATGGCTACTGTGTAGGCTACCCTGCAGGTCCCATCCTACTGGTTCTGGTGAAATTAATCATCCCATCCTTTGCTGGCCTGAGACACATTCTGGCAAGTGTTTTCTCTGGCCATTGCTCACAGCTCCCAACACAAGAGCCCCAAAGAAAGTGAATACTTTTGAACAAAGTGCTTTTTGCATTCACTTTGTAGGGCACCTGGGTTTGTTTCATACTCAACATGGCAATATCTACCTGACCTCCCTTCAAGGCTCTGGGTGCAATCTTACTCTCCAGAGGCAATTTATTTTCTTGCAAGGCAATATGCTGCAATGTGAGTAAACCTGTCATGTAAAAAGCTAAATGTTCCACATGAGGTTAACTGAGACAAAAGGAATATAGAATATTTTTGCCTTCCATAGTAAATTTCTTTTTAAAAGGAATTGTTTTGAAAATAACATATATTTCTAGCCGGAGTCGGTGGCTCAGCCTATAAACATGCGCCTTGGGAGGCTGAGGTGAGTGGATTACCTGAGCCCGTGGGTTCGAGACCCGCCTGGGCAACTTGGTGAGACCTCATCTCTACAATAAATTAAAAAATTAGCCAGGTAGCGCGCGCCTGTAGTTCCAGCTACTTGGAAGGCTGAGGTGGAAGGATTGCTGGAGCCCAGCGGTCGAGGCTGCAGTGGCCGGGAGCGGTCACTGCACTCCAGTCTGGGCAACAGAGTGAGACTCCAACCCCCCCCCAAAAAAAAAAAAAAGAAAATAACATATATTTCTAAAACATAATACAAAATGGGGTGAACAAAATGCCTAGATACAATTAGATACCATTCTCAGTAGCGTTTAAATATTTTAAATAACTAGTTAAACTGAGCTTGACTTTGTTCAGAACCAGCAGAACACACCCTTGCAACCTAGTTGAACTTTTTCTAAGAGCCAAAAGCTTTTCTAGAATAAAGTTCAGTTTCTGGAACTCTGGAGCTTCCTGTCTCCTAGGTATCAAATGTCCTTGCAGGTAATTTTACTAATTTCTGATCTCCTTAGAGTGAGAAATAGTTTACCACTTTCAATTTAGTTCAGGAAAAGACATCAATCAGTCTACCTTTTGATGCCATAATAAGTGCCTCTGATTGTCCTTCATATCTGTTCTCACCTCATCATCAAACCAAGCAAACAAAAAAAAAAAGGAGAAGAAAATCATTTTAAGGTATAAAACAGGTTTTTAAAAAAATGTATTTTAAAAGACTGAGAATTGTCTTTTCTGAATTAGTCAATAATCATTTACTGATTTTTCTGGCTGTATTCCAAGTGAGTCCAAGCTGTCTGTCACTTTCCAAAATCATCTTATCATTCACATTATTGCTCATTAAACATTAAATGCTACAGAACTCCCAGTACATTCCACACTTCAATCTCCAACACAGAATAATTTTGATAAAGGGTCTTAGGAATACCAAGATACCAGAATTTAGCCTTTTATAAAGCAATTTTAATTAAGTATAAAAATTACAAAAAACTTTCAACTTTATAATATAGTATATATGCATTAATATATCTAGGCCACAGAGTGCTTTTTTTTTTTTTTAAATAAGATAACACCATCGAAACACTTAGAGATTGAGGGTCCATCTAGAGATTGAAATGAATTCCACTTTATCAAATAAATCACTGTATCCAGTTCTGGAAATGAATTTAAAGTATAAAGCATCAGATATGACCTATAACTTAACTTATAGAGACCATTGGTGCTAGATTTGCCCTCTTTTCCTAAAGCCCTAGGAGAAAAATAATGGGAAGAGTTAGGTCACTGACCATTCTTTCATTTCTTCAGTGCCCTAGACAAGATTTATGATTCTTTTCTACTTAATAAGGGAAAACTACAGAATGGCATTCTGGTTTTTTTGTTTTGTTTTGAGTTGGAGTCTCATTCTGTTGCCCAGGCTGGAGTACAGTGGCATGCTCATGTTCACCGCAGCCTCAACCTGCTGGACTTAGGCGATGCTTCTGCCAAGTAGCTGGAACTACAGGCATGCACCACCATGCCCAGCTTTAGTGTATTTTTTGCTTTAGTGTAGAGATGATGTTTCACTAAGTTGCCCAGGCTAGTCTCGAACTCCTGGGCTCAGGTAATCCTCTCGCCTCCACCTCCCAAAATGCTGGAATTATAGGCATGAGCCACCATGCCCAGCAGAATGGCGTTCTTTATCAGAAGATTTTTCAAGCTATTGTTAACTCTTTTGGAAAAAAAAAAAATCCTGAGAGAGACTAAGGTGAATAAAAACAGGTTAATTCACTCACTCATTAAATAAGACATCAAATATTTATTAAGCACCAACTATAGGATGAGCACTGTACTGTTCAGAGTTCTGGGAGGATAATGGAGAGTTAAAGAGAACGTGTCCCTGCCATCACGGAGCTTACAGTTATTGGGGGGAGGTAGAGGCTAATCAAAAACATCAAATGAATAAATGCAAAGTAGTAGGTAAATGGAAGTGCTTGGAGGGAGGATATCTTCAGTCAGGTTTGGCCTGGTCACAGAGGTCAGGGAAGGTGACAGGAGCAAGCGATGTTTGTATTGGGACGTGAAGGATCTAGAGAAGTGAACTAGGCAAAGAGGGGGAGGTCAGCAGTAGAGGAAAGAGAAAGAAGAGAGTTGTGAGTGGAGAGAACACCTATGCAAGGACCTCGTGGCAGGAAAGAGCAAGGGACACTCGAGGAGCTGATGGAAACCAGCATGGCTGGAGCAGGGCTCAGGTGTGATGAGCAGCACCTTTCAGGCAGGTGGAGACTAAGTGCAGACCCAGTAGGTCTGGGGTTTTGTTTGTTTGTTTTTAAATTCTCTCCTTT